TGTTTTGTGTTGCTACTCATCCAGCTCTAGGTAACAGCCTTGCAGCAATCACACCCCACTAGGAGAGCAGTATGAGCATATCAGCATTGGTGGTTCAGTGGTAGAATTCTCGCCTCACACGCGGGAGAGCCGGGTCCGATTCCCGGCCAATGCAATTCCGGTTTTGTGTTGCTAATCTTCCAGCTCTGGGTAATAGCTTTGCAGCAATCACACCCCACTAGGACACATATGTGAGCATATCAGTATTGGTGGTTCAGTGGTAGAATTCTCGCCTGCCACGCGGGAGACCCGGGTCCGATTCCCGGCGAATGCAATTCCTGTTTTGTGTTGCTACTCATCCAGCTCTGGGTAACAGCCTTGCAGCAATCAGATCCAACTAGGAGAGCAGTATGAGCATATCAGCATTGGTGGTTAACTGGTAGAACTCTCGCCTGCCACGCGGGAGACCCGGGTCCGATTCCCGGCTAATGCAAGTCCTATTTTGTGTTGCTAATCTTCCAGCTCTGGGTAACAGCCTTGCAGCAATCACACCCCACTAGGAGAACAGTATGAGCATATCAGCATTGGTGGTTCAGTGGTAGATTTCTCGCCTCCTACGTGGGAGACCCGGGTCCAATTCCCGGCCAATGCAAATCCTGTTTTGTGTTGCTACTCATTCAGCTCTGGGTAACAGCCTTGCAGCAATAACACCCCACTAGGAGAGCAGTATGAGCATATCAGCTTTGGTGGTTCAGTGGTAGAATTCTCGCCTCCCATGCGGGAGAGCCGGGTCCTATTCCCGGCCAATGCAATTCCTGTTTTGTGTTGCTAATCTTCCAGCTCTGGGTAACAGCCTTGCAGCAATCACACCCAATTAGGAGAGCAGTATGAGCATATCAGCATTGGTGGTTCACTGGTAGAATTCTCGCCTGCCACGCGGGAGACCCGAGTACGATTCCTGGCCAATGCAAATCCTGTTTTGTGTTGCTAATCTTCCAGCTCTGGGTAACAGCCTTGCAGCAATCACACCCCACTAGGACAGATGAATAAGCATATCAGCATTAGTGGTTCAGTGGTAGAATTCTTGCCTGCCACGCGGGAGACCCGGGTCCGATTCCCGGCCAATGCAAATCCTGTTTTGTGTTGCTACTCATCCAGCTCTGGGTAACAGCCTTGCAGCAATCACACCCCACTAGGACAGCAGAATGAGCATATCAGCATTGGTGGTTCAGTGGTAGAATTCTCGCCTCCCACGCGAGAGAGCCGGGTCTGATTCCCGGCCAATGCAATTCCTGTTTTGTGTTGCAAATCTTCCAGCTCTGGGTAACAGCCTTGCAGCAATCGCACGCCACAAGGACAGATGTATGAGCATATCACCATTGGTGGTTCAGTGGTAGAATTCTCGCCTGCCACGTGGGAGACCCGCGTCCGGTTCCCGGCCAATGCAATTCCTGTTTTGTGTTGCTACTCTTCCAGCTCTGGGTAACAGCCTTGCAGCAATCACACCCCACTAGGACAACTATATGAGCATATCAGCATTGGTGGTTCAGTGGTAGAATTCTCGCCTGCCACGCTGGAGACCCAGGTCCGATTCCCGGCCAATGTAAATCCTGTTTTGTGTTGCTACTCATCCAGCTCTGGGTAATAGCCTTGCAGCAATCACTCCCCACTAGGAGAGCAGTATGAGCATATCAGCATTGGTGGTTCAGTGGTAGAATTCTCGCCTCCCATGCAGGAGAACCGTGTCCGATTCCCGGCCAATGCAAATCCTGTTTTGTGTTGCTAATCTTCCAGCTCTGGGTAACAGCCTTGCAGCAATCACACCCCACTAGGACAGATGAATGAGCATATCAGCATTGGTGGTTCAGTGGTAGAATTCTCGCCTGCCACGCGGGAGACCCGGGTCCGATTCACGGCCAATGCAAATCCTGTTTTGTGTTGCTACTCTTCCAGCTCTGGGTAACAGCCTTGCAGCAATCACACCCCACTAGGACAGATGAATGAGCATATCAGCATTGGTGGTGCACTGGTAGAATTCTCGCCTCCCACGCGGGAGAGCCGGGTCCGATTCCTGTCCAATGCAAATCCTGTTTTGTGTTGCTAATCTTCCAGCTGTGGGTAACAGCCTTGCAGCAATCACACCCCACTAGGACAGACAATTGAGCATATCAGCATTGGTGGTTCAGTGGTAAAATTCTCGCCTGCCATGCGGGAGACCCAGGTCCGATTCCCGGCCAATGCAAGTCCTTTTTTGTGTTGCTAATCTTCCAGCTCTGGGTAACAGCCTTGCAGCAATCACACCCCACTAGGACAGATGTCTGAGCATATCAGCATTGGTGGTTCAGTGGTAGAATTCTCGCCTGCCACGCTGGAGACCCAGGTCCGATTCCCGGCCAATGCAAATCCTGTTTTGTGTTGCTAGTCTTCCAGCTCTGGGTAACAGCCTTGCAGCAATCACACCCCACTAAGACAGATGTATGAGGGTATCAGCAATGGTGGTTTAGTGGTAGAATTCTCGCGTCCCACGCAGGGGACCTGGGTCCGATTCCTGGCCAACGCAGTTCCTGTTTTGTGTTGCTTCTCTTCCAGCTCTGGGTAACAGCCTTGCAGCAATCACACCCCACTAGGAGAGCACTATGAGCATATCAGCATTGGTGGTTCACTGGTAGAATTCTCGCCTGCCACGCGGGAGACCCGAGTACGATTCCTGGCCAATGCAAATCCTGTTTTGTGTTGCTAATCTTCCAGCTCTGGGTAACAGCCTTGCAGCAATCACACCCCACTAGGACAGATGAATGAGCATATCAGCATTAGTGGTTCAGTGGTAGAATTCTTGCCTGCCACGCGGGAGACCCGGGTCCGATTCCCGGCCAATGCAAATCCTGTTTTGTGTTGCTACTCATCCAGCTCTGGGTAACAGCCTTGCAGCAATCACACCCCACTAGGAGAGGAGTATGAGCAAATCAGCAGTGGTGGTTCACTGGTAGACTTCTTGCCTGCCACGCGGTAGACCTGGGTCCGATTCCCGGCCAATGCAAATCCTGTTTTGTGTTGCTACTCTTCCAGCTCTGGGTAACAGCCTTGCAGCAATCACACCCAACTAGGAGAGCAGTATGAGCATATCAGCGTTGGTGGTTCACTGGTAGAATTCTCGCCTGCCACGCGGGAGACCCGAGTACGATTCCTGGCCAATGCATATCCTGTTTTGTGTTGCTAATCTTCCAGCTCTGGGTAACAGCCTTACAGCAATCACACCCCACTAGGTCAGATGAATGAGCATATCAGCATTGGTGGTTCAGTGGTAGAATTCTCGCCTGCCACGCGGGAGACCCGGGTCCGATTCCCAGCCAATGCAATTCCTTCTTTGTGTTGCTAGTCTTCCAGCTCTGGGTAACAGCCTTGCAGCAATCACACCCCACTAGGAGAGCAGTATGAGCATATCAGCATTGGTGGTTCAGTGGTAGAATTCTCGCCTCCCACGCGGGAGAGCCGGGTCCGATTCCCGGCCAATGCAATTCCTGTTTTGTGTTGCTAATCTTCCAGCTCTGGGTAACAGCTTTGCAGCAATCACACCCCACTAGGACAGATGTGTGAGCAAATCAGCATTGGTGGTTCAGAGGTAGAATTCTCACCTGCCACGCGGGAGACCCGGGTCCGATTCCCGGCGAATGCAATTCCTGTTTTGTGTTGCTACTCATCCAGCTCTGGGTAACAGCCTTGCAGCAATCAGACCCAACTAGAAGAGCAGCATGATTATATCAGCATTGGTGGTTCACTGGTAGAATTCTCGCCTGCCACGTGGGAGACCCGAGTACGATTCCTGGCCAATGCAAATACTGTTTTGTGTTGCTAATCTTCCAGCTCTGGGTAACAGCCTTGCAGCAATCACACCCCACTAGGACAGACAATTGAGCATATCAGCATTGGTGGTTCAGTGGTAGAATTCTCGCCTGCCATGCGGAAGACTCGGGTCCGATTCCTGGCCAATGCAAGGCCTGTTTTGTGTTGCTAATCTTCCAGCTCTGGGTAACAGCCTTGCAGCAATCACACCCCACTAGGACAGATGTATGAGCATATCAGCATTGGTGGTTCAGTGGTAGAATTCTCGCCTGCCACGCGGGAGACCCAGGTCTGATTCCCGGCCAATGCAAATTCTTTTTTGTGTTGCTACTCATCCAGCTCTGGGTAACAGCCTTGCAGCAATCACACATCACTAGGACAGCTGAAACAACATATCAGCATTGGTGGTTCAGTGGTAGAATTCTTGCCTCCCATGTGGGGGACCCGGGTCCGATTGCCGGCCAACGCAGTTCCTGTTTTGTGTTGCTACTCTTCCAGCTCTGGGTAACAGCCTTGCAGCAATCACACCCCACTAGGACAGACAACTGAGCATATCAGCATTGGTGGTTCAGTGGTAGTATTGTCGCCTGCCACGTGGGAGACAAGGGTCCGATTCCTGGCCAATGCAATTTCTCTTTTGTGTTGCTACTCTTCCAGCTCTGGGTAACAGCCTTGCAGCAATCACAACCCACTAGGACAGCAGTATGAGCATATCAGCATTGGTGGTTCAGTGGTAGAATTCTCGCCTCCCACGTGGGAGAGCCGGGTCCGATTCCCGGCCAATGCAATTCCTTTTTTGTGTTGCTAGTCTTCCAGCTCTGGGTAACAGCCTTGCAGCAATCACACCCCACTAGGACAGATGTATGAGCATATCAGCATTGGTGGTTCAGTGGTGGAATTCTCGCCTGCCACGCTGGAGACCCGGGTCCAATTCTCGGCCAATGCAATTCCTGTTTTGTGTTGCTACTCTTCCAGCTCTGGGTAACGGCCTTGCAGCAGTCACACCCCACTAGGGCAGCAGTATAAGCATATCAGCTTAAATGGATTCTTGCCTGCCACGCGGGAGACCCGGGTCCGATTCCTGGCCAATGCAATTCCTGTTTTGTGTTGCTACTCTTCCAGCTCTGGGTAACAGCCTTGCAGCAATCACCCCCCACTAGGACAGTAGTAACATCATATCAGCATTGGTGGTTCAGTGGTAGAATTCCTGCCTCCCATGCAGGAGACCCGGGTACGATTCCCAGCCAATGCAATTCCTGTTTTGTGTTGCTACTCTTCCAGCTCTGGGTAACTGCCCTGCAGCAATCACACCCCACTTGAGCTGGAGTATTAGCATATCAGCACTGGTGGTTCACTGGTAGATATCTTTCCTGCTATGAGGGAGACCTGGGTTCCATTCCTGGCTAATGCAATTGCTGTTTTGTGTGGCTCCTGCAACAACTCTGGTTGACGGCTTTTAGCACTCACATAACACAAAGGCAAAAAACAACATGGGTCAGCATTGGTGGTTCAGTGGTGGAATTCTCGCCTGCCATGCTGGAGACCAGGGTCCAATTCCCAGCCAATGCAATTCCTGTTTTGTGTTGCTACTCTTCCAGTTCTGGGTAACAGCCTTGCAGCAGTCACACCCCACTAGGGCAGCACTATAAGCATATCAGCATAAATGGTTCACTGGTAGATTTCTTGCCTGCCACGCGGGAGACCCGGGTCCAATTCCTGGCCAATGCAATTCCGGTTTTGTGTTGCTACTCTTCCAGCTCTGGGTAACAGCCTTGCAGCAATCACACCCCACTAGGACAGTAGTAAATGCATATCAGCATTGGTGGTTCAGTGGTAGAATTCTCGCCTCCCATGCGGGAGACCTGGGTCCGATTCCCGGCCAATGCAATTCCTGTTTTGTGTTGCTACTTTTCCAGCTCTGGGTAACAGCCTTGCAGCAATCACACCCAACTAGGACAGCAGTATTAGCATATCAGCACTGGTGGTTCACTGGTAGAATTCTTTCCTGCTATGAGGGAGACGTGGGTTCCATTCCTGGTTAATGCAATATCTGTTTTGTGTGGCTCCTGTAACAACTCTGGTTGACGGCCTTTTAGCACTCACATAACACAAAGGCAAAAAACAATATGGGTCAGCATTGGTGGTTCAGTGGTGGAATTCTCGCCTGCCACGCTGGAGACCTGGGTCCAATTCCCGGCCAATGCAATTCCTGTTTTGTGTTGCTACTATTCCAGCTCTGGGTAACGGCCTTGCAGCAGTCACACCCCACTAGGGCAGCACTTTAAGCATGTCAGCATAAATGGTTCACTGGTAGAGTTGTTGCCTGCCACGCGGGAGACCCGGGTCCGATTCCTGGCCAATACAATTCCTGTTTTGTGTTGCTACTCTTCCAGCTCTGGGTAACAGCTCTGCAGCAATCACACCCCACTAGGACAGTAGCAAGAGCATATCAGCATTGGTGGTTCAGTGGTAGAATTCTCGCCTCCCATGCGGGAGACCCGGGTCCGATTCCCGGCCAATGCATTTCCTGTTTTGTGTTGCTAATCTTCCAGCTCCGGGTAACAGCCTTGCAGCAATCACACCCCACTAGGACAGATATTTAAGCATATCAGCATTGGTGGTTCAGTGGTAGACTTCTCGTCACCCATGCGGGAGACCCGGGTCCGATCCCCGGCCAATGCATTTCCTTTTTTGTGTTACTACTCTTCCAGCTCTGGGTAACGGCCTTGCAGCAGTCACACCCCACTAGGGCAGCACTATAAGCATATCAGCATAAATGGTTCACTGGTAGAGTTGTTGCCTGCCACGCGGGAGACCCGGGTCCGATTCCTGGCCAATACAATTCCTGTTTTGTGTTGCTACTCTTCCAGCTCTGGGTAACAGCCTTGCAGCAATCACACCCCACTAGGACAGTAGAAAGAGCATATCAGCATTGGTGGTTCAGTGGTAGAATTCTCGCCTCCCATGCGGGAGACCCGGGTCCGATTCCCGGCCAATGCATTTCCTTTTTTGTGTTGCTAATCTTCCAGCTACGGGTAACAGCCTTGCAGCAATCACACCCCACTAGGACAGATATTTGAGCATATCAGCATTGGTGGTTCAGTGGTAGACTTCTCGTCTCCCATGCGGGAGACCCGGGTCCGATCCCCGGCCAATGCAATTCCTTTTTTGTGTTGCTACTTTTCCCGCTCTGGGTAACAGCCTTGCAGCAATCACACCCAACTAGGACAGCATTATGAGCATATCAGCATTGTTGGTTCACTGGTAGAATCCTCGCCTGCCATGCGGGAGACCTGGGTCAGATTCCCAGCCAATGCAAATCCTATTTTGTGTTGCTACTCATCCAGCTCTGGGTAACAGCCTTGCAGAAATCACACCCCACTAGGACAGCAGTATAAGCATATCAGCATTGGTGGTTTAGTGGTAGAATTCTCGTCAAAGTAAAGCCAAAACATTTAATGAAGTAAAAAGAGATGATGGGGTAGTTGTAGAAACAAATGATGGAATATTGGAAGAAATTAAAAATTACTATGACAAGTTATTTAGTGCAGAAGGTGTGATAGAGGAGGACAAAGCAGAATTACTAAAACAAATAAAAACAACAGCAGGAGAGATAGAAAAAAAGAAATGTGATGAACAAATAAACGAGGAAGAAATAAAAAGAGCAATTAACGAGTTAAATAAAAATAAAAGTCCAGGAATAGATGGGTTGGGGAATGAGTTTTATATAGTTTTTAAAGATATTTTAACTGGAATTTTAAAAGAGGTATATGAGGAAATTTTTAAGGAAGGAGAATTAAATGTAAGAATGGGAATGAGATTAATGAAATTGATATATAAAAGGAAAGGAGGAAAAAATGATTTAAAGAATTACAGACCAATAACAATGCTAAATACAGATTTAAAAATTTTATCTAAAGTTTTAGCCAACAGACTAAAAGAAATAATGCCTAGTATAATAAAAACAAACCAGGTATATGGAGTAAAGGGAAGAGACATAGCGGACACAACAATTAGCATTAAAGACACAAAAAGATACATGAACGAAAAGAAAAAAAGAGGCTTTTTAATTAGCTTGGATTTTGAAAAGGCATTCGATAGAGTTGAGCACAGTTTTTTATTTGATATTTTACAGAGTTTTGGATTTGGGGAGAATTTTAAAAAATGGATTGGTATTTTATACAAAGGGGCAACAACAAGAATTAAATGTAATGGTTTTTTAACAAAAAATGTAAACATCACACGATCGATCAGACAAGGGTGTCCGCTATCAGCTCTTTTATATTCATTAGTGGCAGAACCCTTGGGATTAATGATAAAACAAGATGAGGAGATAAAGGGAATAGGACTTGATGGACAAGAAACAAAAATATTACAATACGCAGATGATACAAGTCTTTTAATGAAAGATATCGAAAGTGTAAAGAAAGCAATGCAAATAGTGCAGAAATACTGTCGAGGATCAGGAGCAAAAATAAATGAAAGTAAAACGGAATACATGAGATTAGCAGAGGTAGGGAATTTAGCAGAGCTGTTCACTTTTAAAGAAACTAAAGAAATCAAGATTTTAGGAGTTTTAATGGGGAAGGATGAAAAGAAAGCAGATGATACAATGTGGGAGGAAGTGCTTGGAGGGATTGAGAAAAGATTAAAATTCTGGAAAAACAGGACATTAACATTAAAAGGGAAGGTTTTAGTGTTAAATGTTTTAATGGTGTCAAAGCTGTGGTATATTTTATATGTGTCTGCAATGCCGATGTGGGCAGAAAAAAGGCTGAAAAAATGTTTTTTAGATTTTTTATGGGAGGGGAAACCGGCAAAAATAGCACATGCCACTTTAATAGGGGAAGTGGATAAGGGAGGACTGGGGTTGATGGACGTAGAGCAAAGAAAAAATAGTTTGAGGGTCAAAATAATAAAAAAGTACTTTGACAAAGAAACTGAAGCAACGTGGAAAGGAACTGTGGGATATTTTTTAAATAAATGTGGTAATTTTAATTTCGGGGACAGTATTTTATGGATGAAAACAAAACACTGGATGGCGGAGAGGGTGCCGGACTTTTAAAAAGAATTGTTAAGAGCTTGGGGCAAATTTTTAAACAATGTGCATTTTAAACCTCTAGGGAGAGAGAACATTTTAAATCAGCCTCTTTTCTTAAACAACTGCATTTTAAATCAAGGAAGGGATTTTTTTCAAGAAATGGTGGGTGGCAGGAATAGTTAAAGTAAGGGATATTTTATATAAGTTTAAAGAAGGTTTTTTACCAGTACAATGCATTATTGATGCCATGGAAGAAGCAAAGGAAGAATATAGCAGACAAGAAATAAAAAATAAGTACGAAATAATTAAAACTGCAATCCCTCAAGAATGGATTCAAAAAATTGAAAATAAAGATGATGACGTTGATGGAATGGAAGTGTATGTGAGAATAGGGGAGAAATTGAATGATTTTAAGGAATGTACGGTGAAAAGTTTTTATTGTGTTTTAGGGATGCAGTTTTTAAGAAACCTTTGGCAAATGAATACTGGATGCAAAAACACGAGATAACAAATGAGAACAACATATGGGAAAACATGAGAGGTATTTTTATACAAACAAAACTGGCAAACTTAGAATATTTCATTAGACACAGAGTGACTTTTACTGATGCTGTTTTAAATAAAATTGGGATGGAACAAGATGCAACACACTGTAAACCCAAATGTTCAAAATAATTAAATTGATTGAGTTGTAAAAACTCAATTTTCCAAAGTAGTTCTACTAACTTAAATAGTTAAAGTTTTTTATAGGTTTTGAGTGAATTGAACTTATTATTTTTGATTAACTGGAACATTAAGTAAGTTCCACTTAGGAGTATAATTTAACTTTACCTGTTAATGTCAATGTCAATTGTATTTATATAGCACTATTAAACACAACAAAAGGTTGACAATGTGCTGCAAAATAAAAATCACAATGATATATATATATATATATATATATATATATATATATATATATATATATATATATAAAATAAGACTTTTTTTGTAGTTTCAACACGCTATCTGCGTATGAAATCAGTACCATTTTTGTGTGTGTGTGTGGTTAAGCAATTGTTTTGTCATTTTTAAATTAAATTATATACATATAAACAGGCTAAAATAAACAGAACAGCTGGTTTAATGTAAGCCCAAAATAGAATATTCTATTAGATATAATATATCTATTATTATTACATGCAGTAAAATATGCCGCTGATGTTTCTGTG